AACTTTGTCCCAGTAATATAAAAACTTAGGTTAAATGGCAATTTTCTAAATACATATAAATGACCAAAATTACACCAAAAGAAAGAAAAAATACCTAAATAGAACTATAATCATTAAATGGTAAAAAAGTACTAAAAGCATCCTACATGTAAATGCTCATACTATTTGTCTTAGACTTGACGATAGTATAAAATATGGGAAGTATAAACAACAATTTCAGAATAATGCTGATGAAGTCTAACTTACACATTTTTCTTCCATGCGTTGGACTTTCTTAGTATTTGCATCTAAAAATTCATGGCCACACTTAACATCACTTAGATTTTCTTCTGTTATCTTCTAGGAGTTTTGTAGTTTTGAATTTTCCATTAAGTTTATAACCCATTTTGAGATAATTTTTATGACAGATGTAATTCTGTCTCTAAATTCATTTTTTTTTTTTTTTTGCATGTGGTTGTCCAAATGTTCTAGCAACATTTGTTGAAAAGACTATCTCTTCTCTATTGAATTTGCTTCTTTGTTAAAGATCAGTTGACTATACTTGTATGGGTCTATTTATGGACTCTCTGTTCTGTTCTATTGATGTATTCTAGTCTGTGCTAGTGGGGTGTGAAATGGTATTTCACTGTGGCTTTAATTTGCATTTCTCTGATGACTAAGATCTGAGCATTTTCGTGTGCTTATTGTTTGTCCATATATCTTTTTAATGAAGTGTCAGTTCAAGTCTTGCCCATTTGAAAAAGCATGCTATTTGTATTCTTAACAATTTACAAACTGAGATTCTATTAATAATTTACAGCTAGATTTACAATTTTAGTTTCTAATACAATTCCTTTGTCAGATACATGTTTTGCAAATATTTTCTCCCAGTCTGTGGCTTCCATTTTTTATTTTCTTAACAGTGTCTTTTGATGAGTAGCAGTTTTTAATTTTGATTATGGCCAAGTTATTAATTTTTTTCTCTTGTGTTTAGTGCTTTTTGGATACTTTAAAAAAATCTTTGTCTGCCTTAAAGTTGCAAATGTGTTCTATATTTTCTTTCTTTCTCTCTCTCTCTTTCTTGAGACAGGGTCTTGCTCTGTTGCCCAGACTGGAGTGCAGTTGCACAATCATAGCTCACTGTAGCCTTGAATTCCTGGGCTCATGCTATCCTCTTGCCTCACGCTCTCAAGCACCTGGGACTACAGGCATGTGCCACCATATCTGCCTTATTTTTCTATTTTTTTGTAGATAGAGTTGGGGTCTCACTATGTTGCCCAGGCTGGTATTGAACTTTTGGCCTTAAGTGATGCCCCCACCTTGGTCTCCCAAAGTGCTGGGATTTCATGCATGACCACCATGCCCAGCCTTCTCCTGTGTTTTCTTTGAGAAGCAATATAGTTTTAGTTTTTTGATTTTAGGTCTATGGTCCATCTCAAATTGCGTCTTGAGTGTGATATATTTATGTAGTTAGTGTAGCACCACTTGTTGAAAAAATTTTTCTTTCTCAATTAAATTGCATTGGCACATTTTCATTTATTTGTACAAGTTTATGGGGTACATGTGATATTTTGTTACATGCATGGATTGCATAATAGTCAAGTCAGCGCTTTTAGTGTGTATGTTACCCGAATAATGCACATTGTACCCATTAACTAACTCCTCATCATCCACCCCCTTTACCCCCTCACCCTTCCAAGTCTACACTATCATTCCACTTTCTATGTCCATATGTGCACATACTTTAGCATCCACTTATGAGTAAGAACATGAGATATTTGACTTTCTGTGCCTGGCTCTTTTCACTTAGGATAATGGCTTCCAGTTCCATCCATGTTGCTGAAAAGAAATGATTTAATTTTTTTTTTTATGGTGGAATACAACTCTATTGTATAAATATATCACATTTTCTTTATCCGTGCTCCACTGATGGGCACTTAGGTTGATTCCATATCTTTGCTATTGTGAATAGTGCTGTAATAAACATGTGAGTGCAGGTATCTTTTTGCTATATTGATTTCTTTTCCTTTGGGTAGATATCCAGTAGTGGGATTGCTGGATCAAATGGTAGTTCTATTTATAGTTCTTTCAGAAATCTCCATACTGTTTTGCATAGAGGCTGTACTAATTTACATTCCCACCAACGTGTATTAGAGTTCTCTTTTCTCCACATCCTCACCAACATCTGTTATTTTTTGTCTTTTTAATAACAACCTACGTGCATTTTTAACTAGATCAACTGACCATATATGTTTTATCTATTTCTAAGCTCTTTATTT